GTGCTTTTCATGAACGCATTCGTAGCAGATTGAACTTAAGATTTTACTTACGACAGACTTCGTCCTTAGCAATGATATCAATATTCTCTATAATCCTTATATTAGAAGATAATAATAAAAATATAGCTCGGTTTTCATCACTTATCAGCAAAAACAAACGTTATTGAGAAGAAAGAACAAGTGCAATCGATTATTTAGCTAGAAGTTTGAAATTTGACGTCACAATCACAAGTATGACGTAAAAGTAGGTCTTACGAAAATCTTAAGTCAAACTTAAATCGTAAATTTTTTGTAGTGTATTTCATTTCATTTTTCCAAAATGAGTGTGAAAAAATATAAAATATTATTGGAAGTTACTTTTAAAAGTTCTATTTAACGTGTAATTTGATTTTTGTGGCTATATTTTAACAATAAAATCGGTTTGAAAATACTTAAGAGAGGGTTGGGGCTCTCGTAAAGTTACGATAGATTTTGCACTTAGGACTTTCTTAAGAATTTTTGTGAGAACGGCTTTTATCGTAAGTTTTCACTTAAGATAAAAATATGTCGTAAGATTTTTTATGAAAATGGCTACTGGCCTTGCTCGTATAATTTCCTCGCCTTGTATCTGTATATTTATCAGTATAAATTAAAAGATCAACAAAATAAATGTTAATTACAGTTTCACTGTTGACCAAGATGGCAGTCCGACATCGATTTCATAGACTGCAACATCACGGCTACATGAAAAGTAATAAACAGGTCCATGCAGCACAATCTCTTTAGGCTATATAGCTTTATCATGTTTATTAAGCTATTCAAAATAGCTTGATAAAGCTATTGATATGCATATTCATATTTATATTCATATATGTACTTATGGGCTGTCAAAAATACAACCTAAATCAAAGAAAGTCTTAGCTAACATTGCAGCTGTTGAATATGTTTAAGCAAAAGATGTTTTTTTTCTATTGTTTGAGTAACTGGACACTACCCTGTGTGCACTGAAGCATGGATAAATATGATTGCTTCTCATTGTGATGAGCTGTTAGCAATCAATTATTTTGTTGGCCCTAACTGACCTCCTTAATAATATTTCTTTCAAGAAATAACTGTGTGGTCAATCATCAATACAGTGTTTTCCCTTTATTTCAAAGTAAAGGGTTAGAGATCAGTTGTAACAGGTCAGGGGCTGAGGTTTATACACAGAAACTCTGTGGACATTACAACAGATTTTTATTTCAAAGCGGCATTTTTGTCAATTGAAGCGGTCAATTTGGCCGGTAGCCGGTTCTTAGGGAAAACACTGTCAATAGCCCCAAAACTTTTAGAATTTTGAGTTCAAAGTTTTTCAAGGAGGTGCAGTTAGATCTAGATGAGTGATTTACCATGCAATAATTTAATTTTATTTGTTACACATCATTTGATTGGATAAAAGATTTTATCCATTTTGTATAACATAACGTCACAGTGAGTTACGTCAAAAAACGTATTACTCCGCTTGACGTTACTTTTAAAATCTGCTACATTTGACGTCCTTTTTCGGAGGAAAAATTTTCTTATTGTCTACACTGAAATTAAATTATAAGGAATGAAGCTTATTTCAACTTATGTTATACGATATAACATAACTTGGGGCAGTTTACACTTTTTTATAAATATAACCGCTGAAATAAACTTCATTCCTTAATTATTTTCAGAAAAGTTCAAAGTTAGTTGAATATTATCACTGAACCAAGGTGCGTCTTTTTGTAAATGCTGAGAAAAATAACACATTTAAGAAAAAAGAGTGATAAAATAGCTTAATCAAGCTATTCTGAAAAGCTTACCAGGGTTCGAAATTAGCGAGAAATACTCGCAAAATGCGAGTTGATTTTTAAAACAGCGAGTAAAAATTGAAGACACTCGAAGTTTTTAGCGAGTGGTGATTTTTGACCCAAGTAGTCTTGTATCCATATTTTTCTGGTAATTCGTCTTGCTTTTTTGAAATTTGAAAAGAGTCACAATGCATTCGGTAAACCTCGGTTGATTCTGTCACCATTTCCCAATCAGCTGATGCAATTTATACAAAAATGTTTCATTGTAGTTTTATTTGACATATAAAATGTGTCAACCTTGTCAAAATTTACCTTAGATAAAAAGAGTAATCATTAGTTTTACACACCAAATTAATTTCTCCCATAACTTTTTGAAAATCGTTTTCTGCAGCTAGACAGCCATGTTAGGTGCCCGCTGTAAATATCACACCTGGTTAATTATGTCCGGGATGTTTGACCCCATTATTCAGTAGCAAAAAATCCCAACTTACCGACCCTTGATCATATTGATTTTCTTTTTTGGAATGTTACAGGAATTACAGGAAATAAATATATTTTAATGTTTTTTTTTTGTTCTGTTTTTTTTAGGCCAGATTACCTTTTTTTTAATGTAAAAACATTGATGTTCTTAATTATGTACTGACCCACTATAGAGGGACCTGTATTATTATTGATTTAAATGAGCATGAAAAAGACACCTAATCCTTCTTTTAATTTTAGCTTGTTGATCTTCATTTTAGCCTGTAGATTTTATATGTACAGGCTAAAATTAGCCTGTGGTTAAAAAAGTTAATTTCGATCCCTGCTTACTAAAGCTATATGGCTAAATCAAGCTATATAGCTTAATCAAGAGATTGTGCTGAGCCTGATCAATCATGTTTTTACTACAAAAATGTTCAGTTTAAAGCTATATGATGTAATATATAAAGAAATTGGGTTGTGAAAACAAAATGAAACCCCACCCCCTTTTCAAAATAGGATTTTTGTGTTCAGAGATTTATTTTCCTTTCTTTTTCAAAAACTTTCAGGTAATCGTACAAGTATTTTTTTCCCAGGTCGTGTTTTTCAGAATGTGAGGAAATTGATGCACTTCGTGATATCATAATGCATTGACTAGCCAGAAAATTACGTCATTTTTGATAGACATGCAATCACCAAGGGTCTAAATGATATTTAATGCATTGTTAACTAAAATCAAGCAGTTTCAGTTTTTCAGAAATTCACAGGGCCAAATATGCCCATAGGTGAACCTTGTTCTTTAAAAAAAATTCAAGATAATTACATCAAATTTAAATTCTTATCCAGTTAATAAGAGCTGTTCAATTGCATAAAAATTTTCACCTTGACCTTTCTTTTGATCTTGACCTCATTTTTCTCAAGTTTGTGTTTCTGTAAGTTAAAAAAAACAAGATGTTTTATTATACTTTCATGTTAAATACTAAAATCTGATTGGTTTAGACGCAGTTAACAATCTGTTCTATTACCCTCAGCCTTAGCAACACACGTGACAACGGGTAACACAACGGTAATGCCACATGCGTGGAAATTATGTGCGTAAGGTTCACCGTAGAATTCTCAAAACGTCAGTTGCGCGTTTGAAAGAACCGGAATAAACTTGATGTCAATAAAAGCTTGCGTCCGATGTAGCTTACTTGAAACATTAAATAAAAATAGAATTTTTAGAATATATTAAAATCTTGTACTTTATATTTATAATCTAAGAATTTATAAATTATCATAATTATATCCAAACATTTTCTTTGATAATCGTCGGAAATGCAAATAAAATACTACATTTCAGCCTCCAGAAAAATATCTCTTTATGACTTGCCTATAAGTCGGACATAGAATTTTAAACCAATATTTTAACTCCTAAAATACCGACTTATAGGCATGCAAGTATATATGGTAGTGGTAAGCTCATATTTAAAGAAACTATTCAAGATATTCATGCCCCCTTCGAAGAAGGGAAGGCATATTGCTTTGCTGCTGTCTGTCGGTCGGTCTGTCGGTCCATTTAGTTTCTGTTCATTTTCTTCACAACCGTTGCACATACTGATATGAAATTTAGTATACAGATTTTCAGCTGAATATCTAGGTCAAGTTCTGTTTTGGGTATGACCGCACCATTTTTGACAGAGTTATGCCCCTTGGACTTAGAAAAATTCCACTTATTTGCAGTTTCCGTTCATTTTCTTTGCAGAGGTTGCACATATTGAAATGAAATTTAGTATACAGATTTTTCAGCTGAATATCTAGGTCAAGTTCTGTTTTGGGTACGATCGCACCCTTTTTGTCAAAGTTGTGCCCCTTGGACTTAGAAAAATTCCACTTATTTGCAGTTTCCGTTCATTTTCTTTTCAGAGGTTGCACATATTGAAATGAAATTTAGTATACAGATTTTTTAGCTGAATATCTAGGTCAAGTTTTGTTTGGGGTAGGATTGCACCATTTTAGAGTTATGCACTTTTGGACTTAGAAAAAATCCAATTTGGGGGGAGGGGGGCATAAGTGTTTTACAAACATCTCTTGTTTATGTACATCATATGCTAATAAATACTGTTGTAAGCTGTTCAACTGCATCAACATTTTTTTTACCTTGACCTCACTTTTCTTAAATTAGTGTTTAGCTCAGTTTTAAGGAAATCATGAATAATATTTTTATCCAACTTAATATACTGATACATATTTCTGAGAACTATTCAACTGCATCAATAATGTTTGACCATGCATGACCCTTCTTGTGACTTTGTCCTTACTTTTTCTAAATCTGCATTTTGCTTAATGTTAAAGAAACCATATTATAAGATATATTTATGTACGCTTAGGCATTTATACAAAATTGGTGAGAATTTATCGTCTAATAACCAACTTTTTAGATTCCAATAGCTGAATTTTTTTAGATTCCAATAGCTGAATTTCACATTCCTTAAAGAATTGCGTCCCGTTGTAGGAGTAATGCTCATCACGCATTCTCAATTTATAGTCTCAATTCGCTTTAAATAATGTACCGCGTTTTAAGTAATATAATATTTCAAATAAATTTTATTTTCTGCCAGTCTTACGAACCTTTGTTGGTTGTTGATTAAAATACAACAATTGTTTGTAGTAGCTTGAATGACTGTCTTAGGAGAAAATCACATTTTATAGCAGAAATCGATATTTACGTTACTGTCGCCGATCATCTTGTAGTTTTTATTTTAAACCAAAAAGAATTTTTAAATCATTAACATATCTTTTTCTTAGTAAGATAGTCCTACATTTGAGTTATATTTTCTGAATATCACACCCTTCACACATATGCGTGTCACAGATTTTTAAAAATGTTAATATATTTATCAAATTTTGATGTCACCGCAAAATTATTACTTTTCTATTTGGAAATTCAAAAGGACTGGAAGGAATGATGAACTAACTCAATAGGACTAAGTTGTAACTTTTTAACATCATGAGCACCCTTTCTATTGCATGGAAAGGTAAAAGAGACATTGTTTATCTGTGTTTATGAACAATAGCCCCCCTTTTCTTATAAGTCCAATGGTTAAAAAAATCAACGATATTTACGTGTTAGTATTTATTCACAAATTAAGTAAGAGAACTACACTGTTCCCTATGGACCAAATTGCCTTACACTCAAGCACTAGAATATGCCTTTAATTAACAGTGGAATAATTGAACAATGGCATTAAAAGTTACGATAAATCTCAGAAAGATATTTACGTTACCGATATTTACGTTACCGATATTTACGTTACCATGTTTTAAAGTAAATAAGTATTAATTTCTAAAGCTGTTTGAACAGATTTGCGAGTGAATCTTTATGATGTAAATACTAAGAACATAAAGAAATATACACTGTTTCTTAAAATGTCATTTTTTTCTGTAACAAGAGTGCAGAAATGCAAATGGAAGTGCACATGCAAAGGTGAACATTTTTACTCAATATCTTGTGCATCCGTGTGATTTGAAAATTGAATTCACATAATATTATTCATAAGTAGAGTCGTGGTTTAATGATTGAATCTTTCCATTTTGAGCAATTGGTTAATATTGCATAGTTTCAAGTGTAATGCACGTTATCATTCGGAACGTAAATCTGAAACAAAACTTTCTTCAAGTCTGTATTTTGCTGTTTGTTTGAACTGATAGTGATCGTCAACTTTAAAAAATGGTTATATACACTTGAATTGTATACCAAGCTAAATATTTTGAAGAAAAAAATATCATTTTTGTAGGAAATATAATTCCAGAGAATAGGCGCTGCGTTGCATGCAGTGGGGGGGGGGGGGGTGTTCTACATCGGGTAAAAAAAGAAAGACGGCTGTAGGTGTTGTGTGTCAAGATACTGGTTGAAATTGAATCCATTTCCATTTTTGTTGCTTTGCAAGAAATACATTTATTAACATGTATAAAATTTGCACCTAATTTTTCCCATTTGCATTGTTGCATAGACATATGACTTAGGAGGTATGCGTCTATGCTTTAATGGTACTGAAAATTCAATTTACGTTATATGAACGTAGAATGTATATTGCTCTATAGAGCACATGTGATGTGCAACTGTAATTATTGACAAACTTTTTAAGGGTGGTGGGCGATCTTTGTTTTATTTTTGAGATTTGACGATAAAGTTTTCACAAACAATTAAGCATTTCTGGTATGTAGCAACAAGGGAGGGGGGTCCAACCTTGCCCCCCTTTTTTCTCCAGCCTTACTTCAACTTCAGTAAATGTTCAGTGAAAGGCTGGTTGCCCCCACCCCCACTAATAGTGATGTACGGAAAATATATTGTAATAATTGGTACTGAATGTAGTTGGCATTGAAAAAAGTTCGCCTCCCCCATCTAGGATTTTCGACTTTGAGCAAGTTTTCTCACCCGCCCCCCTTTTTTTTTGCCTTGTCAACTTTCCAGGTAAGTAAAAAAAATTCTCTGGCTACCCCCCCCCACACACACACACATACACTTTCAAAAACGATGCTATGTGAATGACTGCATTTGAAATAATCAACAGATTAAATGGTGGAAGGGGGGTGTTATGAATTACATGAGTCCTCTATAGATAAATCATTTATAACTTGAATTTTCAATTCAACCTTTTGTAAGATCACAGATTAGAAAATTCATAAAATTCAATAATTTGAAATAATATAATCATTTTTCCCCCGAATATACTTTTATTTTTGTATGATATCTATGTGCGATATTTACGTGATATTTAACAAACACTTCGTAATCAGGTAATGGCGAAATATTTAACCTTTTTATATTCTAATTAATGTGCGTTTCTCTGAGCAGATTAATAAAGAATCAATTAATGTAGCATTTTAGGGAATATTATCATTATTAAGCTTATCATCGAATGTTCTAAAACTTCTTAAAATAAAAAGAAAATAATTTCATTTAAATGAAAATTATGTCCGTTTTATTTTTACTAATAATTGAATCAAAGATTGTACACCCCTTTTACAAATGTGCTTAAACGTTTCATAAATGTTTATAGTTAACAAAATTTGATGTGTATTACTATTATATTAATTTTGTATTTAAAAAAGTCTTTCGTTTCCAAATATGGCTTTTCAACATCACGTAAATATCTTGGTGTAAAATTAGCCCTCCAACCGCTTTTATTTCGAAGGAGGCCAACAAAACAATGCATGAAGTATGTAAATCAAATTGCGATTTTTAATAACTATACACTTTCATGTTTCAAATGACGTATAAAAGTGTTAATTTCAGTTCACTAATTTTTTTGACTTTTCCCAAGATCGATTTGTGACTATAAATTGAGAATGCGTGTCATATAACCCACTTTGTCCTCTTTAAATCAGATATTAAAGATTCTCATCACATTCCATAAATACTTTTCATGTTGCATTACTAAATAAAATATACCCTTAGCAGGGCATTCATATCCTATGGACATGATGGACATTTTTCTAGTTTATCAAACTTCAAATGCTGATACATTTTGAGGTGAGCTATCAAACTATTTTGACATTTATGTTTCGCTTGACCTTGACCTCACTTTTCTCAAATTTTTATTTAGCTTAGAGCCTATTCCAAATATTTTTGTTATATATGTAATCTTAAGCATGCACTGATACATTAGTGGGTGAGAATTATAAAACTCAGTGTCCAATTTTTTTTCTCTGACGTTCTAAATAACTTTGGACTTTATTATTTTCTGTATATTAAACTCAAAGAAACTCAAGGTATTTTCTTCAAACTTCATACACTATAGTGATGTAGCATCATTTTTGAAAGGAAAATTTATGTCTGCTCACCTCTTTAAATACCCCCTCCCCTTGTTCTCAATTTCCTTACAACTCAAAAAAGCATGTATAGAAGTTACCGATTCTGATGTTTGTAAAGTAAGAGACTGGAGACCCCCCCTCCCAATATTACATGCCTGCACTAAAACAAATATCATCTAGCATTACTTATTCTACTATGATTATTGTCTACTTCAAAGAAAAGCTGCGGACATTATTCTCCAATTTTTTGCTAACGCCTAGGTTTTTATCTTTTAAACAACATTTCGAGATCAAGGAGGTTATTCTGCAACATTCACGAAAACAAGGACTTTATTTCTTAATTAACTCTAGGTGGGTCATTCATGTCATATAGACATATTTGTAGTTTGCAGTACTTGGGTATGAATTGCATAAGTTAAGCAGGAAAATTTAAATACCATATAATCCCTATTAACCGCCCCTGCCCCTATAAGTGCCCCCTTAGGTCTTTTTCAATTGTCAGGAAATAAGGGCCCCTGTACAGTGTTAAAAATCATCTAGAATCGTATAAAAAATTTGAAGACAGTGAATATGAAACTTGTCTGTTATCCAATTTTTTGGTGGAGAATGAAGATTTTAGCATAATTTGGGTGGATTATTTTCACTTAAAGTAAAGTTAGACATTATTTTAGTGGTTTCAAGCATTTATTTATTTTTAGGTCACCTGAGTAAACTCAGGTGACCTATTGCTATCCATTTTCGTCTGTCATCATGTGGTGTGCGTCATGCGTCGTGTGTTAACATTTGAACATTTTCAGCTTCTTCTCTGCAACCGCTCAACCAATTTCAACCAATTTTGGCATAAAGCATCTATGGGTGAAGGGGAACAAAAATTGTGAATTTCATGGTCCTTGCCCCCCTGGGGCCTGAGGGGTGGGGCCAAAACCACTAAAATTAGTGCAATCTTTAAAAATCTTGTTCTTTACTCCTGGACATCAAGCAGTCTAACTGTTGGCATGATTGTAATGAGCATTGAGTCCTTTACAAAAATTGTGAAATTCATGGCCCCAGGGTCAGGGGTTCTAGTACTAGGGTGGGGATATATAGATGATATAGTGAAAATGCATTATTTCTTTGAAAATCTTCTTCTCTGCTCCTGGGTATTAAAAAAACCAAGTAAGTACATAATTATGATAATCAAGAGTGCCTCTTCCAAAATTGTGAATTTTATGGCCCCAGGGTCTGGGGTTGTGGTGTTAGGGCGTGGCTCTATTGATTATATAGTGAAAATGCATTAATTTTTCGGAAATCTTCTTCTCTGCTTCTTGGTATTAAATAGACTAACTAAGTACATAGTAATGATGAGCAAGAGTGCTTTTACTAAGATTGTGAATTTTTTGGCCCCAATGTCAGGGGTTGTGGTGTTAGGGAGGGGCTCTATTGATTATGTAGTGAAAATGCATTAATTCTTTTGAAAATCTTCTCAGTATCTGGGTATTAAATGAACAAACTACGTACATAGTTATGATGAGCAAGAGTGCCTCTTCCAAAATTTTGAATTTTATGGCCCCAGGGTCAGGGGTTCTGGTGTTAGGGCAGGGCTCTATTGATTTTATAGTGAAACTGCTTTGATTCT